ATCTCTCTCTCTCTCTCTCTCTCTCTCTCCCACTCTCTCTCTAGGAGAAAGTAATATGCAGCAAAGACAGCAGAATAATAAACATATTGTAACAAACAAGAGGTTCTTGTTGACTGATTTTAAAAAATAACACCTTGAAAAAAAAAAGCTGTTGTTATATTTCTTAGCGCCCCCATCCCTATATTTAAAGCAAATTAAACACGGCGGGTTTTGCGTAGTAAAAATGAAGTTCCAAAATGGAGAACTCAAATTTATTTTTACTACTTGAACAGACGAGCAATGACAGCTATGACGTCAAGGAAAACCGTGATGGTGATAAGCATTTACCACAGAAAACAGGACTGGAACAGTACCAACCAGAGCTGTCACCCTCCTGCCATACTAATACATTAACGGAGAATCAACACAATGATCATTCGGCATTGTGTACGTCTAAAGCCCCTTTCAACAACGATTTAACACAAAATTGCCACATTCAGCGACAATAAAGAAAGGCATTTGCCTGGATTTGATTGAACATAAGTTCCCCGACAAGACAACAGACTACTTAGGAGTGGTATGGTGTTACGTCCTTTTCAATCCGTCAATGCCACGTAGACGTACCTGGTACGTCATGGAATTGCACAATGTTTCACATAATCTTGTCGTACAAGGTATTGCAACACGCGTCATTCTTCTTGGTTCGCATATTTCTCTGACTTTTTCTTTGACCATATTCCCATAAAACCATTTTGTCAGTATAGACGCTTATTCTTGTGAGTACGACACAGCCGCCTTTTCTTACTTTCTCTCTTTCTTTCTTACTTTCACTTTCTTTCTTCCTTTCTTTCTTACGGTCGGGAATAGGGGGAGGGGTCGAGACATCGTGATTACATTTAGAAACAGACTTGAGAGTATTAGCAACTTACAGAAAAAGAAGCTGGAATAATTTGATTTTTTAGAGCACCGTGCACCTGAGCAGCCACCACCAACAGCTCACAGGACACACGTGGATCTTATAACAGACGGCACGATAGTTTAATCTAAGGGCAAAGGAAGACTCGGGTGGGTACAGAATACCAGATGGGAGACAGATAAACGGAACAGAAGTTATCACGGGGAGGTCTTAGCCAGGAGCTCTGGGACTCTGATTTCTATCAAAGACAATCTGATAAGCCTGCACTCCACTGGCTCGCTTCCTGCATGTTATAAACATTACCGCAACCAGTGAATGGGGGCAAAGTTTGGGAGAAATGTGGAGAGAGGAATATAAAAGAGAGAATTACTTTTTTATGAGTGTAAAAGTGTGTGAGAAAGAGAGAGAGAGAGGGAGAGAGAGAGAGAGACAGAGAGAGAGAGA